ATACGTCGCACATATTGATATATATTAATATTGACTGTAATGGTATTCCGTCATATTTGTTTTTTACCTAATTAAATATAGTTCTTATTTTTTATTCAATGTGGTGAATATGAACGTTTACATCGCTCCATGTCTTATCTCTTCCTGAATGTCCAACGGCAACATGACATTCAGTGATTTTATCGAAAATGTTTTCATGTGTAATCAATGGTAATTTATTTTTGGTTGTATATACCAGAGAGTGGATACTAGGTACAATACTTGGTACTTTTGGTACTTTTTTACTTGGGAATCCTAGTACCAGTACAATTTTTGTAGTACAAGTAAATTTACTTGTACTTTCAAGCTGTACTGAAGTACTGGTACTGAGCACGATTTTAAGTAAGTATCGGTACTTAGTACAAGTTTACTTAGATGCTGTTACTGATTGGTCATATTGATTTTTCAGTTGTGTTCTGTAAGCTAAATACAGTTTGATATTCTGTTTCTGGCAAAATTTTATTTAAATGAATCCAATATATAGTATTGTTTAAATATTAAATAAAAAAAATAGTAGAATAAATGTTAATGAAGTTATAAAGATTTTATTGAGTAAGAAAAAGTCAGCCGTAGACTAGCATAATAACTTTTTCTTCATAGTAAAAAAAAACAAAGCTCAATATTCGTATCTGATTAAAAAACAGCTGATAAAAACAACTAAGATCCCGCATTTACAATAAATGTTGATTAACTTTTAAGAATATCAAGTCTTTAAAAAGTTTTTCATTCATATTTGCTCGTCGCGGTGATAAGATCAGGCCAGCATATGAGAACACTCGCTCGACTGGCGCCGATGACGCTTGAACAGAAAAAATGCGTATAACCAGTGTTTTCAAAATACTGAATCGAGAATTTAACCAATATTCAGAAAATCTCGATCTCACAGGATCATTAATATATGCTTCTAATTCGTTAGCAGCATCCATTGATGTTGAGCCATTTGATTCATCATTATTATCATCATTATAATTGAACAGCTTTCTTCGTTTTGGTTTTGGCGTTGAGGATGAAAATGTTGCCGACGATAATGATGATAATGGCAACGATGAAAAACTTTGATCAGCTCCTAAAAACATAAAAACATCAATCTCAAATCCATAAAAAAACCAGTGATGTCCTTGTAAAGACCATTCTCAAATATATCGCGAGACTGTCTTGATATTTATAGCCATCAATTTAAATTTAAAAAAAGTTTACATCAACGTTTATAGAATGAAATGAGTCATTAACGTGATCATTTTTACGATAAGCTGTTGATCCCGCCAACCGGATATTTTCTTTTGTTTTCTTCTCTAATTATCATAATGATCTATCACATCTATAATCTACTTCATATTAACTGGACTTTTTCTTAAACTAAACCTAATTAAGTTAGTATTTGTTTCGAATTTTCCTGAGACTAAACCTTATGGTATGTTTTTTTAATTTTTTACAGGAAGAATAAACTTATCGATTCAAAAAAATACTTTGATGAGATGAATTGGTCGATGATGTTGTTACATATTTGTTGATATAATCAAGAATCAGTTGAAGGATATTTTGTTTCAAACGATTTTCAGCATTAGCAGGTAGTCTTAAATCGCGAATCCAATAAAATTTGAATTGAGGATCTAATGCAGCTGCCATAAAATATATAGAATCGCTGAATGGATCATTGTTTTCGACTTCATCTTGATTCAATCGCTTAATTATACCAGCAAAACGTATTTCAAGTGACGATTGAAGTTGTTGAGCAAGTTTAGTACAAAATGAAAGATTTTCTTTAATATCACGTAAATGAGTTACTAAATGCACGACTGCCGGTACGACCAAACTTGCAGTAACAATCGCTTCTGCTTGACATTTAATGGAGATTTCGTAAAATGGTTCTAGAATATTAATGATTTCTTCCAGAACCGTAAAATCATTATTCGAAAATGTAATTGAATTATCCATTAATTTAGTAATAGATTCCAAATCATTTTTTCCAATCAATAAGATAGATTTTATAAGTAAGTATTCACTATTCCATCTTGTAACGTTCATTTTATTAATACGTTGGTTAAGTTCATCAAGTAAATCAGCCACTTTGGACGACTTGTGCGAGAACTTCGCGAGCGCTTGACATTTACCAAGTACTCTTGACACATGAGATGAATTTTTTAAACCATCACGCACACACAGTTGCAGGGTATGTGCGAAACATGATAAACGTAATGTTGCTGGATCTTCAGGATCATCAATATCATCGTCCTGACATACATCAATCACTTGAAAATCGTTTAATTCAATGTCATCTATAATAAAAAAAAGATTGTATATGACAAAGTTATGAAATTAATTTTGAAAGAGCATACAGCTACAATAATACTATCAGACGCTTTTTGACGTATATAACGAAATTCAACTACCAAAACGTAACTCGAAATAGGAAACATATTTTTTATTTGAAATCAACTAAAAATCATTAGTAGATTTTATTTTATGATACAGTAGAATTCGATTAGTTATACTTGAGAAAAACATGACAATTTTTCAATCTATAGATCCATACTTCGAATCCTGTGCCATAGATTCTTTTCTTCTTAAAACAAGGTTCTTGAAAATGATATATAATCACAATGAATTATAAATGGTCTTTCTGAAACTGAGATATTTTCTAATAGTAAGAAGGACGCGATCAAATTTCTTTATTTTGCACCATTTTTCTTCAAATGATACTTGACAAATATAAAATACTACTTACGATCGTAATCATCAAGCATTGGTGCCGTACCTGACATCGATTTACTTATATCACCATATTTGTCAGTTTCTTCGTCAACCAATAAACCGAATTTATATGCTTTAATCATTGATGATGCATTATCAGTAATTATCTTGAACACCTTCTCTTTAATTTCAAATTCATCAAGTACATCTTCAGTTAATTGTTGAATATTTTCGCCAGTATGTGGAGATTTAAGTCGTACAAAATCAATTAAATACGCCTGTGGTATCATTTTATCATCAATAAAATGGCATGTAATGCCTAAAAACGATCGACAACGTCGATCAGACCATCCATCAATGGTTAATGTTACATGATTAACTTTATTTAACGTCTCCTGAATTTTTTTGAGAACATTGTTCGCAAATGAAGGTATAATATCACGTTTCAGCTTTTTTGCTGATATTGGTTCAAATTTAAAGCCACATTCCTTCATAAAGTCACGGAAACCAGCACTTTCCACAATCTTGAATGGTAAATTGCATCGAACAATTAAGTTTTTTGCCATAGATAATGCAACTCGATTGCGTCTTGATTTTACAGTGGTTGAAGCAGTTGCTGTTGAATCATCATCATTGGCATGTTTTCCTCCCGATATAAATTCGTCTTCAAGATTAAAAATTCGACAGTATTTATTTGGATGTACTCGCTTCAAATGTTTGAGAAAATTGCTAAAAATACCGTTTTGATCTTTGTAGTTTCGATTGCATAATTTACATAAACCATTGGTTCGATTTTTTTCGGCAGAAGAAAATTCAAAATATTCCCTCCAACTTTCACCAACCATTTTTTATTTGTCAAAGAACAATAAAAGCGAGAACTCGTGTAAAAGATAATATTAACTAAAAGAAAGTAAGCGACTTTGTGACCTAATAGCGATGTGAACAAAGTCATTTGTTCTTTGTTATACGCCTGTATGTATAAAGAGGACTTCAGTGTTTGAAGCAAACATTCACCTATTCATTTCTACTTCTAATACCCATACAAGAAAATCAATAGTTCCAAATGATATATATATATATATGATAATTCAATCATTTTAATCGAGAATCATATTTTTTATTATAGATGTCAGGTTGGTGCAAAAATGAAAGGTATCATAAAGCTAAATACTAAGCAATACGCTAGATACACAGCTATCAGGATAGGTGTTCAGTATATTCGCATTTAGTATCTTCATGTAAGTACATCTGTACTTAGTACAATTACTTAAGTACAAGTGTACTTAGTACCAGTACAAAGTACACATGTACTTAAGTAAATTATACTCAGTAAAAGTCCGAAGTACATTTCTTAAGTAAAAAGTATTCGTACTTATACTTGCTGTACTTTTACTTGTCCACCCTCT